TTAGATTGTGACGCCTCAGGTTCTCAAACGTCTCCCTTAAGTCGCTTAGGTGGTCACCCTCTTTCTTACTTTTGATTAACACATCATCCACGTATGCCTCCACATTTCGTCCTATCTGTCCTCCAAAGACTTTGTCCACCATCCTCTGATAGGTGGCACCTGCGTTCTTCAAGCCGAATGGCATCACTACATAGCAATAGTTCCCGTACGGGGTCATGAAAGCCGTTTTCTCTTGATCCTCTTCGCTGAGAGGGATCTGGTGGTACCCTGAAAACATGTCAAGAAAGCTTAACATTTCATGATTTGAGGTGGCATCGACCAGCTGGTCAATTCTTGGCAGTGGATATGGGTCCTTCGGGCATGCTTTGTTCAGCGAGGTGAAGTCGATGCACATTCGCCATGTCCCGTTGTGTTTCTTGACCAATACTGTGTTTGCCAACCACTTCGGGTATTGCACTTCTCTAATAAAACCTGCCTTAAGCAACTTCTGTACCTCTTCCATCATGGCTACCCTCCTTGCCAACGATGCTCCCCTCCTTTTTTGTTGTACGGGCACGCTCTCTGGTTTGACGGAGAGCTTATGTTCCATAAGATCCCTAGAGACACCTGGCATGTTTTCAGGGCTCCAAGCAAATAGATCAGCGTATTCCCTTAACAGGTTGATCATTGGGAGGCGCATGTGCTCTGGCAGATGGGCGGAGAGTCGGACAACTCGGCTTGGGTCGTCAGGGTCTAATGGTAGCTCTATCTCTGAATCAACTGCTCCAGGGCGCGGCACCTCCGTTGGTCTAGCATCGATCGTGTGTATTTTTGGCTTGTGAATGGTCGTCGCATAGCACGCCTTTGCTGCCTTCACATCCCCCCTGGCTATCCCCATTCCCTGGGGTGTTTGGAATTTCATCGCCTGATGACAGGTTGAGGCTACAACTCCGAACCGAGCTAGGAAGGGCCTCCCTAGAATGGCATTATATGCGGATGGGCAGTCGGCAATGTGGAAGTCCACCAGGGGCGTGGCACTTGGCTCCTCGTCTCCTACCTTGACTCCTAAGCGCGCTGTTCCTAGTACCTTCACCTTTGCTCCAGAAAAGCCGACAAGTTGCCCTTCTAAGGCTTGCATGACCTCAGGGGGTGTTTGCATTTGGCGCCAGCAGGAATATAACAGTATGTCAGCGGAGCTCCCACTATCTACTAGCACTCGGAATACCTTGTACCCTTCCACTTGTATGTTGATGACAATAGGGCTTTCAGATGGGCCCTCCGGGGGATAGTCTTGCGATGTAAATGACAAGTCGGGACCCTCTTGCTTTGCGATTTTCATACACCATGTGTCACTCGCTTGCCCCTTGCGCTTCTTCTTTCGGCTGGGCTCCCCTCCCGCGATGGTCCTTATCTCCTTGACATTTGGGTTAGGACCCAGGCGCTCCTGCACTGGTGGTCTTGCGGCTGGAGAGCGACTGCGCTCCCGCGGGGACTGATTTCCCTGTTCTGCTTTCTGGAACATTTCTCTTACTCCTCCTCGATCAGAGATTATCTTAAGTGCTTTTTTGAAGTAGTGGCAATCAACGGTGTTATGGGTGCGAGAGTTGTGATACTCGCAGTACATGTTTGCTTGCCCCCGAGATTGATTCGCGTTCTCGCGGTTGGTTCGATCTCGGCGAGGCTCTTGTGAATTTGCAAGAACGTCTCTTCTTACCCAGACATTGGGACGTCGGGCATCATCTCGTCAATCCGGACTCCGCCTTCTGGTTCTAGGCGCCTCGCCCCTCCCATTTTGAGCTGGGCGCCTGGAGCCACTTCCTTGTTCCTCCTCCTTTGCCCCTAGCGCCTCCTCCATTAGGATTGCCTTTTGAACCTTTTCTTCCAGCTCAGCTACCTGTCGTATCTCTCTTTTGGCTAGGGAGCGCCTTAGCTCTTCGTTGGTAGTTGCATCCATTAGATTGGTGCGCATAAGTGGAGGGGTTAAGTCTTTCACATCGGACGCGACTTCCCACCACCGCCCCATGAAGTGCCTGAGGCTCTCTCCCTTTCTTTGCTTAAGATTGACAAGCGCACGAACCGTCAGCGTTTGCTTCTTTTGGCTCGCGTACTTTGTTGTAAATAGCAAAGCGAATTGAGCAAAGCTCTGAATGATGCCCTCTGGGAGTGAGGAGTACCAGCTACTACATCCTCCGGGGAAGGTTGAGGGGAATGCCTTGCACAAGGCAGCGTCGGACGCATTGAGGAGTTGCATTTTTCGACAGAACGTACTCAAGTGATCCTCTGGGTTAGATTTTCCGTCATATGAGGGTAGACCGATACTTGCAAAATTCGGTGGGATTGGTGTTTCGAGCACCCCCTTTGATAATGGCTGCCTAATGATTTGGGCACTTCTGTCTTCCGAGGCGCCGTAGTTAAGTCGGGCGTACTTCTCCAGGTAGATGTCGGTGTTAGCTTCCATTGCGTCCTCATTTGGTGAGGCGCCCACACCCTCCCGTGGGGAGTTCGTGGGTACTGCCTCAACCTCCTATATCTTCCCTCGGAGGCGCCTCCTTTCCTCTGTGGCTTCTTGGGGATTTTGGGGCGCCTGGTCGTTGACCTTTGTTCGTGCTGTTAACGCGGTCATGACTTGGTCTAGTTGGCCTTGCATGCTTGCCATTTGAAGTGCTTGTTTTTTCCGAAGCTCCGCTAGTTGCCCCTCCAGGCGCTCCGCGCCTTCTCCGTCTCCTGATGGGTCGTCGTCGTCGGACGCTTCTAAGCATTGGATGGTGAGCGGTTGGGGGTTGATCGCTTCGCGACTGTCGCAACCGCACCTCCAAAATCTGGGGATCCGTCGTGAACTGATCGGAGTCGCCATCGACCTTATTTTGTAGTGGGCCGAACACTAATTTGGTCCAGTCTCGACATTAGGGTCGAAACCGGAATTTGGTTTGCGAATTAGGAGATTTGGGTTCGGGAGTACGGGTACGTGTGGGGAAATGTATTCCACCCCACAACGCCCAAAATTGGTACTACTTAAATCGATAAGTTTTAAGGGTTGGGTGTTTTATTATTTGCGGATTATTGGGTACGTAATTATAGGATTAATATAAGTGTAATATGATTCGATTTTACACCTATTGATGTAAATATCGAGAATTAAAGAAAGTATTTTGATTAGTTGGAACCAGTTAATTAATGATTATGGAAAAATTATACTATAAAAATCACCATGATCTATTAACCACGATTTCATTTTATTGAATCTTTTTAAAAAAACATATACAAATGCGTAATGACGTAGTGAAAAATATATTTAGAAGATTTTGATATATGGAAACAATGACGATCTAACTAGATCAAAATTTTTAATACATTTAATTGATTACGTATTTAGCATGATAGAGAATAAAAATAGACGAGGGGCCTAAAAGGCTCAAGGATTGTGATGTAGCTCACTGGTTTGTTATGTTGATTGGTGAGAAGGTGAGAGCTGGAGGTCGTGGTGTCGAAACAAATGGAAGGTTTTTATTTTTCGGTCGATTTAAGGAGAAGGGGCGGTGGCATCTATCGTAATTTTTGTGAAAGAAAGGGCGGATTAGTCAATTAGGTGGAGGCCAGAGGTATATAACCGAGACTGACTAACGAAAACCCTAATCCCCTTGAATTTGAAACCCTAAGCGGCGCCCCCCATCTTCTCTTTTCTTTCGTTTCTTTCGTTTCTTTCCCTTCTCCTGGAAATCCGATCGACAACCGAAAACAAAAAGGAAAATAAACCCTCGAGATCCAACCTCTCTTATCTTTCGTATTCTCTGGAAATCGAGCAAAAAAAGAAAAGAAGCACCGATTCACTCCGATTTCTCTCTCCCTCGCCCTTCTATATCATGGCGGTGACGATGACGACGGTGAAGCAGGGTTCAGCGGTCAGTTTTTGGTTGCATGTTAACTTTTTTGTGCGATTGTGAGCTGGTTGTTTTTAGGGTTCTAACCCCTTTTTGTCTTTATTTTGATTTCTGGGTTTAATGGCGAACGAGGGAAGAAGAAGAGGAAGTCGCCGGCGGTGACAAGATTGATGGGCAAATGACAGCGAGTATAATGGGTAATTTCTCGGTTTCGATTATACTCTCTTTGCTTTATCCAAATACTAACTCCCCTTTTTTCTTATTTTCGTAGGTTTGAAAAGAGGCCAAATCTGGGTGAGGACTCTCCCTACTCTGATTTTGGTTTCGATTAATCTGTGCTGGATCTAATTAGATTAGGTTTTTTTTTGTGATTAATGGTCCTGAGTTTGGGATTGCGGTCTGAATATTGTAGTTGATTTGGACATAAATTTATGATTCTGAGATTTGAGATTTGGGGGAAAATGTTTGTGTTATATGCATGGTATATTTTTATGTATATGCAAAAATAACGAGAGAATTGAAATCTGACACAAATTAAGAAGATAGTATATAGCTTTATGGAAAATGGTAATAAAACTTGGAGTAGATGACAGTAATAAATAAATAGTTATAAGCGTAAATTAAAAGATGAGAGATTTATAGGCTAATATGATTAAGTCAAAATACACTTGTATAGCCAAAACTTTGATGGTTTGGCCAAATATAGCCACTTTTGGCGAAATACCAAAAATAGCCACTTCCGTCCAATTGTTTGACGGTGTTAGTGAATGTGCTGACTGGGCTAACGGTAAGGCTGATGTGGCAAAAATGTCGTAAGTAACAATGACAGGTGGAAAACCATCATAATTTTACCTTTTTATTTTAATGAGCTTAAATAAAACAAAATTACCAAAAAAATACATAAAAAATTAATTAAATGATTACACATCAGAAATTAATTAGTGAAAATAAAAAATAAAATTAATTAAATGATTTTTTGTCCTTCCTCACCTCACTTTCCCTTTCTCTCGTTGGCAACAAAAGGAAAGAAAAAAAATTTCCACAAAAATTTTCATCATCTTTCTTCTGGAACTCATCTTCCCCAAAATATCACACCCTTCTCCAAAGCAGCTGCTCTTCTCCCTCAAAATCCCTATCTGCCGTCGCATCACTGCTGGAGCCGGAGCAGGGCCAAACTCGGATTCCTCTTTCTCGAAAACCCTCTCCGCCTTTGGCAACTCCCAAACCATCTCTTCATGTGGCCGCCTCCGAAACCCTCTCCGCCTCTGCAACTCCCAAACCCTCTGCTTATCTTGCAGATCCCTCATTCAATTTGTCGAACGGGACCGTGGCGGCGGGGGAAGAGGAAGAAGGAGAAGCTCGAGAGCCGGGAACATTGGGGCTGTTCTAGATCTGTGAAACTGGTCGGAGGCGACGCGTACGTAGGGGCGACGGTGGGGAAGCAATTAGCGGTGGCGGCGGAAAGCAGAAGAGGAAGGTGGTTCGTCGGAGTCGACGGCGTCTCTGGCGTCTCTTGGCTACCCAGAGATCCCATCTTGTATGCTTAGTTTTGCTCGTTTACCCATAAATCCCTTCTTCCCCCATTGCTTCGACGAGAAATTTGAGACTCCCGAGACCCGACGAGCGCCATATTTGATTCAATCGAGGGAGAGAGATGCTTGATGGCGGCGAGGATCGACTGATGGCGACGAGGATTTGGGATCGACTGATGGCGGCGAGGATCGACTGATGGCGACAATAATGGCGGACGGTGAGCACCGGTGCGATTTTTATTATTTTTTATGATTTTTATTATTGTATTTCTGGTAAACGACAGTAATGAAGGGAAGAATTAATTATTGTATTATTATGCTTTTTTATTTATGATTTTTTATTTAATTTTAAAGTTAAAATATGACATGGCATCCATGTGGCAAGTATTGTTGAGTTGTCGATGATGTGTCCGCTGAGTTGGCTGCCAAATAAGCGTTCCGTTAGTTTAACTAACGGTGTCACTGACGCCGTTAAAATATGTAACGGAAATGGCTATATTTGTCATGAAATTTTCAAAATTCTGGCTATATTTGGTATTTTGCCAAAAGTGGCTATTATTGTCATAAACGTGAAACTTTTGGCTACACAGATGAATTTTGCCTATGATTAACATGTAATAAAGTGAATGCTTGAAACAAGTAAATAAAGGAATTGAAAAATAAACTATTATTAATGGAAGAGATGGTAAAGTAAATGAGACTTGGTAAGTCTGAATTGATAAGTTGTGATTTCTTTTTTGTTAAAATCAATTTGGTCATTTTGTAGTTTGATTGGAATTGATTGATTTTTTCTCTTTTTGAAAGTATGATGTAGTAACGATGGTAATAATAACTATAGTGATAACTATAGTAATTGGTGGAGACAAGAAGAGTAGCAAAACAGCAAAAGAGGTTATATTATTAGAAATGGATGATGAACCTGGATTTGTAAACCGCAGACCTTGTTGGGCTTTTCTTCTGCTTCTATTTTTACAGAGAATAAAGAAGGAAAAGAAAGTGTGTTGTATTTCTCTTCTATTTCTCAGCACTTTCCCTCTCTGCACTACTAAGAAGAAGAAAAAGAGAACTCTGAACTGACTGAAAGAAAAGACAGTGTTTTCCCACTATTTTCCCCTCCCAAAAAGCTGTCCCTGGTTCTTGAAAATTGAGCCTGCTTTTATAGAAAAAAGAGGCGGTGGTTTCTGGGTTCGGTCGGACCGGTTCTGGTTCGACCGGTCCGTCTGTTGGTTGGCGTCGTTGGGCTGGTTTGGATTGCTGGCCCATTTTGCCTGATCTGATCCAAAGTGGTTTTAATGCTTGGGCTTGAAATGTGGGTTGTGATCTTCTGGACTTGTCTTGGATCTGGGCCTGAATAGACTGTCTCACGGATGAAGAAAGAGTGCGCTTCAAATATCAAGTTTTAACTTGTAACACTACTTTTATAATGATGTTGTATAAGTGCATTTTTATGCAGTAATTCATATTTATAATTTGTTATTCTGATTGTAATTGTAATTTAGCAATAATTTTAATAAAAACATGCTTCTTCTTTATTATTAATTTTGTTGTGCAAAAAGTTGAGATTGGAAGCCAATCGATCCTATTAGATCCACTGGAATGAATTCAAATAAATTATACAATCGTCAATATTTAGACTCGCAAATTGCCAATCTAATTATCTTACGACATTTCAATATTAAATTAGAATTTTTTAATTGAGTAATAGATCCGGACAAAATGGGGTGTCTACAGCGACCAACCACTTGCTTGAGAGGGGTCTTCGTTGGTGCCAGACTCCTTTCTTCCCCCTTCTTTGAGTTGGAAGCGTCTTTCAAAGTCATGCTTGGCCCCACGGTGGGCGCCAATTGTTTGAGCCCGGGCGACTGGGCGTCACTCGGGTCCAAGGGGTTTGGGGCGTCAGCCATGACTTTGAGGGGGTAGGCGCCCCGCCTCGTCAGAAGCAAGAAAAGAGGAAGTGTGTAGAGAGAGAAAGTAGAGAGAAATAATAGTAAGAGTAGATAGATTGCCATTTATGAGGAGAGAACTCCTATTTATACACATTTTGGGGTTAGGTAGTGGTCTGGGCGCCTGCCAAGCCATAAATGATATGGTCGGGCGCCTCAGACCTTCTGACACTGTTCATAGTCCTTTTTGACAGAGGGTGTCCCCCTGCCCCTTGTCTTTGTTGATGTCAGGTGCCTGGTCTTGTCTCTTGTCTCCCAGCCTTGTCTTTTTCCTCTTGTCTTCTATCCTTCTCCATGTCATTAGCTATGGTATTATTTCTTTGGTTACTAGGATACCCTATCACTTACCCAAAAAATTAGTCCACTCCCATATCCTGCACCAAAACGAATAGAAGTCAGAACCAACCAAAAATCAGACTTAGATCAAGAACAAGAAATAAAAAGAAAAAAACTCCCCTGTCAGTTCTGGTCACCGGTGAAGCTCGGACTGGTGGCGGCAGATTCTTTCTTTGTCCCACCTCCACAAAAATACCAAAATAATAGAAATCAGAACCAAACAAAAATAGACCAATAGACCTGAATAAACAAAAAAGTTTACCTAGAGTTCCTCGCCGGCAAGGTCAAGCCACCAGCGCCTCCTCAGATCTCTTCCCCTCGTCCACCACAAGAAAAACTAAAACGAGTTAAACTCAAAATCGAGTGCAGAATCCAAATAAAAACGGACATGCATGTGAGAAAATCTTACCAGAGGGTAAGATTCACCCCTCGTCGCTGTCGTTTCGGCGAGGGAGAGTAGATCGGGAAGCCTCCTCGATTTTGGGCTGATTTTCTGAAAAAATAAACAAGAGAAAGCGGTAAGAAAAAAAACCCCCTCAAAATCAACAAGTAAATTGAAAGAAAGAACATGCATGTCTAGGATTCTTACCTAGATCGAGACCTTCTAGGTTGATACGAGCGATTCCCTCGGCCAGCCACGAAAAGGAGAAGACGGCGGCACAGAGGAGAGAGCTAGGTCGTCGGTTTCCCTTTCTCGGATTAGAGAGGGAGAACGCGAGGGAGAGAGGAAAAGAGAGAGTGACGGCGGCGTTGTTTGGGTGGCTAGGGTTTTGTTTGACTTCTCCAAGAAAGACGATAGATGGAGAAGGAGAGCGGCGGCGATTAAGTGGACTTAGGCGGCTAGGGTTTGGCTTCTCTGAAAGAGAAGAAGAGAGGCGAGAGGAGAACGAGGAGAGAGAGAGGAGCGGCCGCCGGTAGGTAGAATAATATTAGGGTTCGTTTGAGAGGTTTATATACCTCGGTTGACAAAAGGATGAGATTGCCCCTAGGGTTGCTCACAAATTACTACCCTCGCCACCGTGTTTTTGGGTATTTACCAAACTAACCTTTCCCCCTCTCTGATACATAACGAGAAACCCAAAAAAATCAGGGTGATCGGGTCTCGAACCCTTATCCTCTGAATCGAGTGCGCTATACGTTTGACGACTTAGCCAGTTGAGCTGCTGGCCCATTATGTAACAATATAATCATCCCATTTAATTTTATTCGTTTAAGATTCCTAATACAAAATGCAAAATGCGGATTAAGTTAGTTTTGCTTCTCTTTTGATGCCACGAATTTCTTCTTAATAATTAAAATTCTTGCTTTAATTTTAGTAATATCATAATAATCTAAATGAATTTTTATTAACAAAATTATAATACGAAAATCACGATCAGTGGAACGTGATTACAATTAAATTGTCAAAGTTCAAACGATCTATGTGGACTTTGATCCCGTGATGCGGGTACTTAGGCAACCGATAAGGTTCGAGTCCAACTAACCAATTAACTTTATTTTTAAATTGTACGTATGTGAACGTATAATTAAATTACAACTAATACGATAAAATCATTTATTGGTCCAGTGGGATCCCAAAAATACATATTTTCTAAAATACACCCAACTCGTAGAAACTTATCAGGCTTAAGTAGTACCGATTTAGGGCATTGTGGAGGTGTTGCTTAACTTCCCCACACGTAACCATACTCCAGAACCCATAACTTTATTTTCGCAGACCATGTCTCGGTTTTGACCCTAAGGTTAGAGCCAACCGACGAGTGTTCGATCCACTCCAAGTAAGATCGATGGCGACTCCCAAAAAAGCCGACGCGACGACATCGGACCCCCGGAGGGACGTTCACGACAATTCCAACAAGGCTAATATCTGCAACCACCGCATTCACGCTAATCCATGATGGGTGTGAAGCTTACTTGGCCTACGTCATAGCGACATAAGAGGTTAAACTCTAAGAGGTGGAAATCGTGAAGGACTTTATCGACGTATACTTTCCTGGGTTAATTCCAAGGAGAGAGATCGAGTTTGACATTGAAGTGGTGCCAGGTACTGCTCCAATATCAAAACCACCATACCGAATGGCGCCAGTAGAACTCAAGGAGTTGAAGGAGAAATTGCAAGAATTGCTAGACAAGGGATTTATTCGCCCCAGTATTCCCCATGAGGAGCCCAAATGCTTTTCGTGAAGAAGAAAGATGGGAGTATGCGAATGTGTATCGATTATAAGAGGTTGAACAAGGCAACAGTAAAGAATCGTTATCCATTGCCCATGATAGATGACTTGTTTGATCAACTGCAGGGTGCCACTGTGTTCTCGAAGATTGACCTAAGGTAGGGATATCATCAGTTGCAAGTGGCAGAATCCTCCATTTTGAAGACAACTTTTCGTACTCGGTATGGACACTATAAGTTCCTGGTTATGCCTTTTGGGTTGACCAATGCACCGACAGCTTTTATGGCACTGATGAACAACGTCTTCCATGAGTATTTGGACAAGTTTGTCATCATGTTCATTCATGACATCCTCATTTACTCAAAGAGCCACGACGAGCACAAGGAGCACTAGAGAATCACGTTGCAGAAGTTGAGGGAAGAGAAGTTGTATGCAAAGTTCTCCAATTGTGAATTTTGGCTAAAGGAAGTGTTGTTTTTGGGCCATGTGGTTTTCGGGATAGGATTGGAAGTAGACCAAGATAGAGGCACTGGTGAACTGGGCGCCTCCTAAGAACTTCCCGGAGTTAAGAAGCTTTCTAGGCATGGCTAGGTACTACATAAGGTTTGTGGAGGGATTCTCCAGCATCGGTAGCCCTTTAACCCAGTTATTGCGCAAGGGAGTGACTTATACATGGAGTAAGGAGTGCCAAGAAGCTTTCGAGGAGCTTAAGAGGAAGCCTACTACTGCACCGATACTGGCATTACCATCAAGCGAGGGAGAATATGCCATATATAGCGATGCTTCATACAAAGGGTTGGGATGTGTTCTTATGTAGAACAAGAAGGTAATTGCTTATGCTTCAAGGCAATTACA